ATGTAAGCTGCCCCAGAAACAGTGTCATTCTTAGTCGTACTAAATTTCTCGAACAAGTAGATGCTAAGTATTTTATTAATGGTATGTTGTCTGCAGTTCTACCAAAATGTTAATACGCAGTAGTTAGAAGTTCAGTCCAAGTCAACTGGTTAACCATAACACTTTCATTGCGAAGAAATCCTCTTAATACTATAAATGTGGTTTTTCCTGAGACTTTGTATCAAAATGAAACCATTAGTGGTATGTGTGCCAAAAAAGACATTCAGTAATTGTTTGCACAACTGCTTTAACACACACAGCCACTGAGGATTCAAGTAACTAATAGCAATTGTCATTTAAATTAATTAACAATGTTAACGTAAATGCATACTTTACCCAAAGCGTCCTGTTTGCCTCTACATTTACATGTACCGATCCTCTTGGTAAAGTATTTAATAACTAAATCTTGAGATTTGCCACTACTATTGTCTGGCTACTGTATGAATGTATTATTTTCCTAATTGCATTTAGAAACATTTTACTTCTGACAGAGTTGACTTGTGCATTGTACATCAATCACCTTATAGTCAGCAACAACAAAGGTATTTTTGACAACCAGTATGTGGCAGCATATTGAATTTGCTACTTGCTCATGCTGGGCGTTTCAAATCGAATACTGAAAAACTCCATCTCTCTCCATCTCTTTGTACAAATTAAATTTGTGTAATGTACTAGAAAGTTGTGAATGAGCTAACAGAACATGCCTAACTGTCTATTGTGATAATCTTCATGTACATAGTTTCATAGCAAAATTCATAGAGCATAAATTGCAATCATCCCCATAGTTGTACTATCAGTGACGTTCTATTAATAACTCAGCTGCCATAATAATATGATTAAGAGTACAACCCAAAGCATTTACTGTATAATGTATTCTGGTAAAGCAGAAAGGTAGAAGAATGCATGGAACAAGAAAACGGAAGTCACCATGTTAAACCGTAGCGATTTCCGGTTTCTTGTTCCCCACCTTGTTCAGCATTTCAGCTTTACCGGAATGCTTCATTGTGTTGTTATCTACCTATTTTATCATAGAACAACTTCCCATCTATTTTTCCACTATTCTACGATAATGTATCTGACGTGACACAAACTTATAAAGCTCTTTGATTCCAACAAATTACAATTAATTTTTAAGTCAACAGGTTCCAGAAAGTTTAGGAATATACCTTTCCAATATGTATCAAAACCTTAAGGTATAACAGTTTCTTCATGTAAAATATTTTTCTCTTTTGATGAGTTGTATTTATTTGCCAGACATCAAATTGGAACACTGAACATCTCTACAAGCAGCTGTTCAGATTTTGACATGTTGCATTTACTTTTTATGTGTCTGATTAAAATGTGCCGGTTGTATTCTTTTTATCATTAAGTCAAATGCTGTCAACTTTTTTATAAGGTTCAGGCAAGG